GAAAGGTGGGATGATGCCATAATCGAAAAAAAAAAAAAAAATTTTTTTTTTTAGTTTGCTAATTTTTTTTTTTTTTTTTTTTTTTTTTTTATCCAATCATTTTTTTTGACAACTTATTTTAAATTCATTTCGACGCACGCACGCACGTACGCACGTACGCGCACACGCACACGCACATTTCAAACCGCCATTATTATCATAATAATAATAATAATAATTTTTTAACCAATGAAAATGTTTTTAACGTGAAATGTGTAACGAGCGGTCAATCATTCATTGGTTGCGACACGTTTTGATACCCTCTAGGGTAAGAGAACACGCATAAAAAAATGACGTAGCAACGACAAACGACAAACAACAACAAACACACCGATTTACTTATTATTATCATCATCATCGTCATGCTTTTCAAATTCGGTTAATTAAGTAAAAAAAAATATATATATATATATATATATATATATATATATATATATATATATCCAGGTATTTTTTTTTTTATAGTCAAGTGCGCAATGTTTTTTTTAACGTTACGATACAAATACGACGACGACAATAATAATAATAATAATGATGATGATGATGATGACGAAGACGACGGTTTATTATTATTATTATTATTATTATTATTATTATTATTATTATTATTATTATTATTCACGTTTTGGATGAAAATAAATAAATTCTTAACACGGGATTTGTAATGAGGACGATTATGTTAGATTTTTATCTAAAGAGAGAGAGAGAAAAAATGTTCGGTTTAATTTAAAACCAGGTACATTAAAAATTATTATTATTATTATTATTATTATTATTCTTATGGAATAAGAAGACGGTTTAACGATTCAGGTACGTTCTCGATCGGGTGTATCAAATTTTTTTTTTTTTTTTTTTTTTTTTAAAGAAAATTATCGAACGGTTTTGTCGTTATCGAACGTTTTTTATATATAAATAATTTTCGTTGGGATGAAACATTTTCCTTTTTTTTTTTTTTTTTTTGTTAAAAAGTCATTAAAAGAAGGAAAAAAGGAAAGAAAAAAAGAAAGAAAGAGAAAGAAACGACGGACAAGAAAACGACATTTTTCATGCAATTAACTTTTAAACCGCATAAAAGGAATTAAGGAAACCGCAAAAATGGCGACACACACGCACGCACACACACATACAGACACAAACATACATCGGAGAGTTTTATGTTTTTAAATAATTCTTATATAAAAACTTTTTCTCTCTCTCTCTTTCTATCTCACTCTCTCTCTCTCTCTCTATCTCACTCTCTCTCTCTCTCTCTCTCTCTCTCTCTCTCTCTCTCTCTCTCTCTCTTTGTCTCTCTTTGTAATACACGTAATGAGTTAATGTTTTAAATTTAAAAAATCGAACGCCGAACAGGACAATCATTTCCCTTACGGTAAAACTTTTTAAGCCCCCGCGTCGTAAAAAAAAAAAAAAAAAAAAAAAATAATAATAATAATAATAATAATAATAATAATAATAATAATTGATAAGAATGATAAACTGAAAATGAAAAAAAAAAAATGTCAAATCCGGTTTTCTTCGTGTACGTATTCGCGTCATTTTTTTTCCTCTTACAAAGTTTAAAAAAAAAGAAAAACGTTTTGAAATAATGTAAATCGCGGTTGTTATTATTATTATTATTATTATCATCATCATCATTATTATTATTATTATAATCACGTAAAAAAAAATTCATGTTGGTAACAATTACAAGCAATTTTTCAATGCCCCTCCGGTGTTTTATGTACAAAAAAAAAAAAAAAATTTTTTTTTTTTTTTAGTGAAAATCACGAATTTTCTTTCTTTATTTATTTTCGCGCTCGGTTTATATTATTATTATCATCATCATCATCATCATTATTATTATTATTATTATTTAAATTTCGTTCTCAGGATTTTTTTTTATTTTTTATTTTACGTGAAATAGAAAATTACATTAATTAAAGGGTAATTACGTGGCAGGAGTAAAGGAAAAAAAAAAAAAAAAAAAACGCATTTTGATTTATTTAAAACTTTTTTTTTCTTTGTTGTTGTTTTTTTTTTTTTAAGTTGAAAACTTATTTCCCTCTCTCTCTCTCTCTTTTTCTATTTTTTTTTTTTTTTATTACGTTGGTACTCCTGATTTTAGGTGAGGTTTATGCTGTCGGTATAACTCCATTCCGTCATTTCGAATCCGTTTATTAAAATTTTTTTTTTGTTTTATTATCCCAATTAAATCGTAAAAAAAAATTTCCGATGGAAAATGTTGTTGTTGTTCTTGTTGTTTGTTGTAATTGCGGTTGTTGTTGCCGTTATTATTATTATTATTATTATTATTAAACTGAAATGATTTTTTTTTTTTTTTTTTGCTCCGAGACTAACGTTTAATTAACGATGATTTATGTATTATAAATTTATCGAGTGGAAGTTTTGAAATTTTTTTCTTCTTCTTCTTTTTTTTTTTTTTTATTCGCATAACGTACCTGATTTTTTTCTCCAGTTTTTATTATTATTATTATTATTATTATTACGATAGGTTTAGGTTTCGTGATTTATATAATCGATTTTTATTCGTCGATGCAAAATGACGAGGAAGGGGGGAAAAAAATAACGTTGGGCCTAAAGTAACTAAATTTTTTTTTTTTTTAATTTTCCTGGAGAAATCAGTAGAAGAAATTCTTTTTTTTCTCCAGTGCAAGTAAAATAAGGAAAAGAAATTTTTTTTCTCCAGCAAGAGTAAAAAGAAAAAAAAAATTAACATAATCAGTGATTTTTAAACAATTAAGAAAGCGTTATTTAGTTTGAAGTCGTTGTCCCAAGTTTAACTGCCACTTTAGTTAGTTTATTGGGCCATTACAGTCACTTAGTATAATTACCAGGAACTGGAAAAGAAAAAAAAAGTGAAGAGAGAAAGAGAGGAGGGGAAGAGAGGGAGAGGAAGGGAGATGGAATAAGGAAGGAAAAAAAAAAAAGATAAAAAAAGGAAGTTGAAAAAAAAAACGAAGGCAAGGATTTCTGGGAGTGAGCGAGCGAGTGAGGATTTGAACCGGGGGGAAGAGTGGGAGGAATTTTTTTTTTCTTCCCTCTTCTGGATTCTCTGGAAGAAGCAATTTAAGGGTTGCTTGTGACAGTAAAAAACAATTTTTAATAGGGTTATACGAGAGAAAGAAAGAGAGAGAGAGAGAGAAACGCGAATAGCGTTTGCCCGTGTGGCAAATGATTACAACAGCAAAATAATAATAATAATAATAAAATAAATTTTTTTTTTCTTCTTTCTCTCTCTCCAGCATTGACTGGAAAAAATATTAATTATCACTCGTGTTTATTATTATTATTATTATTTTTAATTATTTTTCCAAAAAAACTAATAAGGTCCGTCATGCAATTTTCCTGCTGGAGAAAAACAAAAAAAAAATTTTTTTTTTTCATTTTTTTTTTAATAAATAATTTATTACAATAATTAATTATTATTATTATTATTAAACAATAAAAATTTATTAATTGAATTTATTATTAATTTATTTTTAAATCGTTAATTAATATTAATAATAATAATAATGAATGAATAAATGAGTCGTTCCAATGGAAAATAATTTTCAGGTATGATTTTTTTTTTTTTTTTTCATTCGGGTGATTTTAATTTACGGAAATTAATAATAATAATGATAATGATAACGATAACGATAATAATAGTACTGGAGAAATTTTTCCAGTTTTCAGTTGAAGGAAAAAGGAAAAAAAAAAATTTTTTTTTTCACATTCATCGTACCTGAAAATCACTTCCAGTCATTGTACGTCGCGGGTGGTTATTTAAAATAAAAATAAAAAATTTTTTTTTTTTTTATTTGATTTTTCTCATTCGTCGGGGTTAAAGAAGAAACGAGTTTTTTTTTTTTTTTTTTTTTTTTTTTTTTTAAATGAAATTCAAATGACACGTTTATCTTAAAATCTTAATTTCGAAATATCCTTAATGGATGGACCCTTTCGAATCGGGTTTTTCAAAAATTTTTTTTTTTTAATACCTTTTTCTCCTTCTCTTCTACTTTTCTACTTTTCCCGACGTAAAATTTTTTTTTTAAACAAACGTGGCAGATTCTGTACGGACGGTATCATCGGTTAAAAAAAATAAACGTTCGAAATGTAACTGCCACGTCTTTTTAAAAAAAAAAAAAAAATTGGGTCAGAAAAATGACGAGTAGTATAAATGAAATTTGAAACTAATGGAGGACACGATGTGTTGATTATTGATGGGGGGAGGAGGAGGAGGGGGAGGGAGGAGAGTAAAAAAATAACAATAATAATAATAATGATAATAATAATGATAATCGGATTTAGCAGACGAAAGATGATCCCTTTAAAAAAAAAAAAAAATTTTTTTTTTGATAATACTGTTTGCATATGACTCATCTGGGGGTTCCCTTCGGTGAATATTGTTGGCCATTAGGCACCCGCAGCATCACGTATTAAATCAATACCAGCTGCTCTCGGTGTGTGCGTATGTGTGTCCGTGTGTGCGTATGTGCGTGTGTGCGTGCGTGTGAATCGTTATTTTATACGGATACGTTTCTCTCTTTCTCTCTTGCTGTGTGTGTTTGTTTGTTTGTTTGTTCAATATTCATCCCCGATTTATTTATTATATATATATATATATTTTACTTAAATCGTTTTTTAAACGAATTTTATTTTCGGTTGTATTCTGTTTGTTCGTTTGTTTTGTTTGTTTCGATAGACTAAAAAAAAATTTTTTTATTGGCGTTTGTCGATGGCCATCATTTAAAACAACAACAACAACAACATTTAATTTTCGATTCGGTTTCGACATAAAAAAAAATACGAAGAACAAAATAATTAGGTATCAGGTACTAAAAAAAAAAAAAAAAACACGGACTAAATTCTAGAAAGGTGATTGGTTCTAGTCTTTTTTTTTCGACTAGTTTATATGATAAGTCGTTAGATAAAGTTTTTTTCTCCCTCCTCCCCGTTCGCATACCTACTCGACAATCAAGATGGAAAGAGGTTTTTTTTTTTTAGCTCCCCTCCCTTGTTTCTCCCCTCTCCCCGCATCGCAACGATCTATTTTAACAAAATCATCGTCCTCTCTTTGTTTTTATTATTATTATTTGGCTTTGGGCCTTGTTTTTTTTTTTTTTTTTTTTTGTGCTCGAATATTTTCGAAAATGTTTCTCTCTCTCTCTCTCTTTCTCGTACGTTAACTAGATTGATCGATGGATCGATTTATCGATTTCGATGTCGTGGAATTTTTTTTTTTTTTTTTTTTTTTTGTGACTCGACGAAATAAAATTAATTAATCTCTGTTGTTTTTTTTTTTTTTTTTTTTAAAGGTGATGCGAGTAATGCGTCCATCGGAAGTGGCGAAGGTACGGGAGAAGATGATGACGACACAAACGGAAAGAAAAATCAGAAAAAACGTGGGATTTTCCCAAAAGTAGCTACCAATATTCTCAGGGCGTGGCTTTTCCAACACCTAACGGTAAGTTTGAATAATTTTTGTATAGAAATTTACACGTGAACCCTCCTCAAACTTTTACTTTACCTCATTCTCCCCCACCCCCAACCCCCCCGTGAGGAAAAAAAATATGAAACGAAAACGTGGAGGAAGAAAGAGGAAGAGGAAAAAAAAAACGGGGCGGAAAAGGAGGAGAGAGAGAAAGAGAGAGTAGGTTGGTTGTTGTTTTTTTTTTAGACTTTAATAATTCAAAAGGTGAGTGAACGCCGCTCACGTTGGAAATGAAGAACAATGGTTTACGTTACCAATCATAACAACAACAACAACAACAACCAATCATTTTCTTACTCTAACCCTTTTTTTTTTTTTTCCTAACTTATAATTACAACTTGGGTTTTTTTTTAAAAAAAAAAAAACATTAAAAAAACCGCACGTACGATCGATCGGGTTGGAAGTTAAAATTACATTGCCCCCGCCTATAAACTGGACAAACACACACACACACACACACAAACACCGCAAACAAACAGTAAAAAAAAAAAAAAAAAAAAAAAAACCGGACAAAATTTTTGTTAAAACCCGGGATTTCCAGGGAAAATTAAAACCGAGAAAAAAGAAAAATTTTTTTTCCAGTCCGTGTGTTTGTATTACGAGACGATTCGTTTGTTTTCAAACAGCCACGTGATTTCCAAAAGTTAAACAAACAATTAAAAATTCGAATTTCAATCGTTTCCCCGGAATCGAATCAAATAATAATAATAATAATAATAATAATAATAATAATAATAACTGGAACGTAATTTTCAATTCCAAAAAAAAAAAACATGAATTTTTATTATTATTATTATTATAAAGGTTAAGCATTTATTGGTCACCTGGAGGCGAGGTTTGTTTTTTTAAAAAAACGTACAAATTGTTGTTGTTGTGGTTGTGGTTGTTGTTGTACCTGTCTGCATAAAAATCATTTTAAAAAAAAAAAAAAAGCCTGGAGAAAAATAATTATTTATAGGATTATTTCGAAGAGAAAAAGAAAATTTCAAAAAAAAAAAAAAAAAAATTCGTGCCGCGTTTCATAATGGACGCGTAGTATCGAAATGATAATAATAATAATAATAATAATAAAATGACGGTGGACAACCGCCCGAAAAAAATAATATATATATATATATATATATATATATATGTAATTTTGGAATCGGTAAAAGAAAAATAATTTAAGTCCGATAGGGAGACACAAACACACACACACACACGGATAAAATCCCAAAGGAAATTTTCTGGAAAACATCGACTTCTCCGGGATTTCGTGTTATTTACTTGTCACTGAGAATTAACGAATGGCAGATAGAAAAAAAGAAAAAAAAAATAAGAAAAAGAAAAAGATGCGAAAAATCTTTGGTGGCAAAAAGAAAAAGAAAAAGAAAAGAAAAGAAAAGAAAAGAAAAAAGAAAATGGAAAAAACTGGAATTTTTTTCTTTTATTTTCCAGGATTCCAGAATTTTTTTTGTTCACGCCTTTCACAAACATTCATTTGGGAATTTTTTTAAAATTTTAAACGTTTCTATTTTGTTTTTTTCTCTGAAAAAAAAAAAAAAAGATAAAGGATGTTGAGGGGAGGGTGGACAGGTTGAGGGATAAGGAACAGAATTTAAAGGGAGTGGGAGAGGGAGGGAAAAAGGGAAACAGGTAAAGGAAGACGACGAAAAAAAAATTTTTTTTTTTTTTTGTTTAACGTTTTAAATATAAAAAAAAGAAAAATGAACGCCTTAATATTTACGACGATGACGTAATCGATACGTTTTTAAAAAATGACGTCGTTAACGCTGGAGAAATTTTTAAACCGGAAATGAAGTTAAAATCGAGAAAAAAAAAAAAAATTATCGAACGGGAGACAAACGAACGAAAAAAAAAAATTCTAATTTTGTTTACGCGCGCTTTGTAAAATTTAATTATTTAGTTAGTTGCACGTCTTTTTTTTTTTTTTTTAAATCATCACTACGACCACGTTCGATCGACGCGCGACAAAATAATAATAATAACGACGGGGGAAAAAAAAAATTAATAAAAATTAAAAATAATCATGGTTTTTTTTTTTTTTTTTTTTTTTTTTTTATTATTACGTTTCGGATTTTATTATCATCATTATTACTCTCCAGAGGGAAAAAAAGAGGAGGCAGAAGAAGAAAAATAAGGGATGGATTTGTTTGTAAGGGAGGTAGAAGGTAGGATATGAGGGGTAAGGGTGTGTGTGTGTGTGTGTGTGTGGGAGTAAAGGGGAAGGGAGGGAGGGAAAAGTAAAACTCCATTAATGGGATTTTTTTTTTTTTTTTTTTTATTAAACGAAAATCGTGGCAGCAGTTAAAATGTTTAAATAAAAAAAAAAAAAAAATATTTCGAAACGAGTTTGTTGTGATGGGTTTTCGAAATGTTAAAAGTGTCGTTGTCGTCGTCATTCCTCTAAAAAAAAAAAAACTCGGTCTAAAAAATTTTTTGTAGAGGAGTAGTAGTCAAAAGAAAAAGGAAATGGGGTGGAAGGGTCAACATGGAAACGATGTATAATATCATCCCCTGGGATAAAGGGATGCGAATTCCTCTTATTCTTCTTCCATTTTGAATGAATCAAACTAAACAAAGAGAACATGCGACGACGACTTTCCTTGTTTTCCTTTCATTACCGGAACGAATATTAATAATAATAATAATGATAATTTTCTTTTTTTCTTTTTTTTTTTTTTTTTGGTAAATTCTGGAAAATTTTTACCTTTCAGTAGTGACGTCATCAATTTTTATCGATCGATCGATTAATTTAATGTAATTTTATTGGTTTTTATATCCTTTTTTCTCTTTTTGTATTTTCCTCGTCGCGCATGAAAAGTCGATTGTTTGTTTGTTTGTTGTGGTTGTTGTTTGTTAAAACGATAATTACGATTCGTAATGAAATGATCGTCGTCGAAGGGAGAGAGTGAGAGAGAGAGAGAAAAAAAAAGAGTTCATCGTACTATTTTGAAAGTTTTTTAATCTTTTTTTTTTTTAATTTTTTTTTTTGGCGGAATTTTCAAAAATTTTTAAAAACCTTTTTTGCGTAACCTTTTTGTCGCGTTTTAAAACGCGATAAAAGGGTGATAAGGATAAGAATCGATATTTATAAATAAAAAGAAAGAAAAGAAAGAAAAGGTTTTTGTGCTTTTTTTTCTTTTTCATAAATCTTTTAAACAAACGCGTTTGTTTTCTTTTTTTTAACAAAATTTAAATTTTTCATTTCCCCTATTTTTTGTTGTTATTGTTGTCGTTGTTGTTGTTGTTGTCGTCGTCGTCGTCGTAATTTAGACTTTCGAATGTTCTAGATATTTTTTCTTCACCTTTTTTTTTTTTTTTGATTAGATTTTTTTTTCGTCTCTTATTTTTTCATCCCTTTCGTTCTCTCTCTCTTTCATACTTTTTTTCTTTCGAAACAACAACATAATTTTTTTTTGCTTTTTTCCTTTTTTTTTTTTCGTTAAAAAAAAAAATAATTTAACTCTTTCACAAAGGAAAAGGCATTTTAAAAAGGGAAAAACCGGACGAATCTAATTCAAGTTTTGCCTTTTCATTAAAGCTTAACACGTCGCCATAAATCTTTCGGGAAGAAGAAGAAGAAGAAGAAGAACCCGGAGTTAATGGCAAAATAAGATTTTTCCTTTTATTGTTGTCCTTTTTCTTTCATTTTATTATTTGTTTGTTCTTTCTTCCTTTTTTGACTTTCTTCATTTACTATATTTCTAACGTAAACGGTGAAATTTGTATTTAGCAATTCATAAAAATAAATAAAAAAATTTTTTTTTTTTATTACTCATCCGCGATTATGTACGGTAATTAAGTTGTTGTTGTTGTAGTTGTAGTTGTCGTTTGTTTGAAAGATCTTGCGAAATTTGTAATACGAGGGATAAATAATATCAGGGCCGACTTGACGATATTAAAACCTGCTGACTTTTTATTTATATGTATATTATCATCATCATTATTACCGCGTTTTTTTTTTCGCAAATAAATAAAACGCGTGAGAAAGAGAGAGAGAGAGAGAGAGAGTTTGCGTTATTATTTACCAACGATTGTTGTTGATGTAACAACCCTTCAAAAAATGTTTTGTAAATCGTAAACAAACAACAATTGCACAGCGAGAGAGAGAGAGAAAGAGAGAGAATTAATAATATATAAAAACAAGATTGCGGGAAATTGCGAGGAAGAACAAAAAAGAAAAACCGTCACTTTTTAATCGTGACAATAAAAAAAAAAAAATTTCAATGGCGTAATTAATTTGTTTTTACGAAAGAAAACACAAATCGTGTGACGGTGGCAAGGGGTTGGTGGAGAATCCCTCCCCTCGCCCTTTTGTAAAAGGAGGTCGTAAAGATGTCGCTTTGACAAAAAAACAAAAATGATAGTGGGTTTGTTGTCATTTTCGAAATTTCGATCAAAATTTTTAACGTGTCGTCGTCGTCGTCTCTCTATTTACGCCGGAATAAATTAATTTCTTAACATAAATTATAAACAACAACCACAACAACGACAACAACAACCAAACTGGAGATTATGAATCTCAGGTTTTCGAAAAAAAAAAAAAAAAAAGGAGCGGAGAAGGGATGTCGTCGAAGAGTGGAGGTGATGCGAGAAACTACTACGACAAAGCCTGATAAATAAATAAATAAATAAAGAAAAAAAAGGAAACAATGCAACGGGGGGAGGAGGGGATGTGGGGGAAGGAAGAAGGAAAGAAATAAGAAAGAAAGAAAGAAAGAAGGAAAGGGAGAAAACACAAAAAACCCGTAAATTTCATAACGTTATTGCTTAAATATCATTTTTGGACAAAAGAAAAGAAGAAAAAGAAGAAAAAAAATTCCGTGTGTGAATAATGAATTGTCAACTTTTTTCTCCTGCCACGACAAAACAACAAAATTATGTTTCGTTTACGCTCGCACGTATATTATTATTAACATTGTATAACAATGAAAAAAAAAAAAAAAAATTCATAAATTTCAACTTTTTTT